AGTCATTTTGGGAAATAAATTCAGAGGTAAAAAAATATTATTATGCAGACAGTGAACTCACCGGCGGCTGGGGTTGTCATGAGCTGAGGTTTGATGGTAGGCTTGGTGGTCGGGGGCGGCAGGGTGGTGCAGGCGGCAGTGTTGCAAGCCCGATCTTGTCGGCCATTTCCTGAGAACGATGTAACAAACGAAATAGTATTTATACCTAAATAAACTTTTACTTTTCCATCCTCTGTTGCCGTTAAGCGTCAAGGGGAGATTATGCAGTTTTCTATGGTAGGCCAGCTCCACGGCTCTTTCAATTGGGATATTATAATTTCTCAGGGTTTCCTTGGTTCACTCAATCTACCTTTAGCTTGCCCCTCATCTTCCTTTATAGCCCGAGTGCTTAGTGTTAGTAGCTCTCGATGCTGGTTGGCTAGGTGACATTCTAACAGGTGTTTTTTTTCTTGTTTGTTTGTTTTGGTATAAGTGTTTTATAGCGCTCGCAACAGCATAATAAGGTCATATGACCAAATTTAACATTTTCAGTAGGTAGAAAATTTTGAATTTTGCCCGGGTTGGGGCCGAAGCCTACTTTTATTGATTTTAGACCACCAAAGAATCTTTAACGTGCGGAACTTGCACCGAGGACCTCCGAAATTTTTCGCCCTTGACCGAGAAGGCTAGGTGTAGATCTTTCCTACCAGAAAATCAGGGGTGTAGATGAAAGACAGCAGTAAGAAGGAGCCAGGGAGTAGCTGTAGAAAGGCTGTAGAAAGAGTCAGGAGCCCAGAGGGTGTGGCAAAGGAGATGGGGGGATGGGGGCAGGAAGTGGAGGCGAAAGCAGACGACAAAACATTGCTAGAGAGCAAAAGGAGGTAAAAGGAGACAATTTAGAGAAGAAAAATTCCCGTCGCTATCCGGATTCGAAGACGTGACCTATGGAATGAGAGGCGAACACTCTAACCTCTAGGCCGCGAGAGCCCCCTCTAACAAGTTTGAGTGTTAATTGACCGGCTCTTATTAAAATGAATATCCCCTTTAATTTCTTTTTATTAGAAATTTTGTTTTTCTTAAGTACTTTCATCCTCTTTTTTCTCTGCTTTTACATTTATATCGGGCGACGGAAATTTGATAACCATGGCTTTGGAAAAGAGATTTTTTAAAAAAGCATATCACCATTTTGAGGCACAACAATATTGCTATTCCCAGTGTCCTGATTGTGAGAAGGAGACAGTTTTCTTTCAGTAAGATATTTCTTCTCCTTTGAGTAAAAGGGCATTTAATAATTTTATCAAGTCAAAAAAGAAGAATAATTGAAACTACAAAGCAAAATCAGAAGACAACTCACCTTGGCAGTTCTTTCCACCGTTGGCGGGGGCAGGGTCTGTGCACGTGCGCTCCCGGAACTGAGTTCCTCCGCCACATGTCTTGGAGCAGGGACTGTAGAAGCCCCACTTGCTCCAGTGTCCGTCAACTGTAGGGATAGAGTATGTTTGTTTTAGTAGAGGTTTTTCGGCGCTCGCAACTACATAAGGTCACATGAGCGCCAGAAGATTAGAGGTGTTACAAGGGAGTAGCAAACATATAAAAGGAGGGGAGATAAAGACGATAGATGTTTGATAGGAAAGAAGGAGCAAACCACTCCAGAGCACCCGCCAAACACCCACCGATAGAGTAAATTATATATAGGTCTTAGAGTATTTAAGAAGGTCGCTACCATAGATTTATAAAGCTCTATCTGCTCAATACATAGTTTTGAGAAATTTGACGATACAAATTTGGAGTTTCACAACATGGTTAGACTTTTTGGAATGCAATTTTTAAAATATCTTAATAACGACTCCGAATAATATTATTAATATACGGGATGCCCGCTGTGGATGGGATCGGTCGATCGGGCCTAAAAAAACAAACGTGTTTGTTTTCAGTTTTAGGGGACAGAGTCGGGCTATAGGCTAGATCCAGTCGTAGTATTACGATTTTGATAAAGCAGATAGATCATTTGTTTTCTGGCCACACAGTTTATTGACTCAAAACGGTCCAAAATGTTAGATAGAACATTGTATGTCTACGTTAGCGAGGAGCTGATGTGTCTTTTTTCACTTCGGTCCGTATGTGTGTATGATCTATGTATGGTTGAGAAAGTTCTTCCTTGTGTGATTGAACTAGGGTTTTTAAAGTTTAAACGAAATAAATGTTGTTGTTTTTTCTTTTGTTTATGAGTTCTAGCGCTCAGTAATCATGCTATCGATGCAAAGCGCTCTGAGCTTATACTTCTACGGTATAGAGGCAATCTTTTGTTATAACATGAGTAAGTGTCAATTTCGACCCCCCCCCCCTCCCATTCTTGAAGTAAGTTAAAAACGTCTGTCGGGCATAACGTCACGTAGACCAAAATGTGACCCCTGGGAAAGCAAAGACCCTGGATGTGCGTAGAAGGTCGAGTAAGTTACGAATAGGGGACTTGAAATGTGTATAGTATTCAGCCAAGGACAGGCAATGCTTGTGTTTTCTTTCATTTTGTTTGTTGCGTTTGGATTTGCTTTAATTTTGTGTGTGCCTTGCTATGCTCCGAATACTGTCCCATTAGTACCTTTTCTAAAAGCAGATATGCATTTGTTAATTGAAAACATTTGTTGTTTGGTTTTTTTTGTGCTAAGCCATGCTATTTTTGTCTATATTGTTAGAAACTTTGCATCTGTGTTTTGTCCCAAATGTTTTTTCTGGGGGAGGGTTGGGGGTGATTGAAGGAAGAGTTTGAAAAAGAATTCATTTCTATACGTTTTCAGTTAGGGATTGATTCAAAGTAAAAGACGTAGAGAGTTATGGTGATGATCATATATCCTGAAAGTTACCAAATATTCAGCTGCTCTTGGAAAATAATCAAAATGGATGCTCGAAAGCTGTGTTCCGCCATATTGCTTGCCATAAAATACAAAGGACCTGTTATATTCGCTGTTCTGAAAACAGTGACTTAAGTCATAATTTTCATAGAGCAGCGGTGTCGATTTGTCGTATTTATGTGTGTGATTGTGTACGTGTGCGTGCGTGTGTGTGTGAGTGTGTGTGTGTGTGTGT